CAAAATTTACATAGTAAACATAACCCCACTATTTACTATGTTTTGTTACTAGTTCTCTGGCGGATCACGAATTAAGCTAGTTAAGATTTTCAGTATTAATTGATATTATTAAATTTTTAATTATAATATCCTGTTCCTTTTTTATTAAAGGTAGTACATTGGCACAATGAAGAAAATAACTAATATAATTTTCTTCTTTGATGGCGTCGATATTTTATTCTACTAAAGAAATTAGAGCAGGCCTGTTCCTAAAATTTTTTTACACAAGGCAAAATCCGGACTTTAGAGAATCATATACACTAAGGGTAGAGTATATATATAACGTCTGTAAATTAGATCACTTGTAAATTTAGCCAATCAAATCATGTAATTTTTTACGAGTGATAAATTTTTTGTTAAATAAATCATGTGAAGTAAATGTATCTAGAAGGGGCACGGTGCAATTTTAAATTATCACATGGGCACGAGGCATCAAATAGAATTTACTAATTATATTAATAGTAACGTTTTACTATACAACCAGATAAAATAATTATAGATCATTCTGGTATTGTAAATTAATTGTTTTATATGAATATTAGAAGAAAAAAAAGAAGTCTTTACCCAATTGGGCTTATCAATCTCAAAATTTACAAAGAAGGCAAAAACTAGTTTTTCTTTTATAAAACAAATAAACTCAAATTATAAAGCAGATCATGCATGACGCCCATACACAATTGAGCTTATTTATTCATAGCACAGCAGCACAAGTCCAAGTAGATCATCCACGACACTCTTAATGTTTATAGTAAAAGAAGAAAAAACTAGTTTTTTTTTTAAGAATAATTAATCATGCACGACGCCCATATTGTTAATACTAGAAAAAACCTTGTTCTTTCCAATTGCACGACGCTCTTTTTATGTTTCATAGCCAAATAAAGGGTTTACAATTTGAGATAATCAGGTTTAAATTTAATTGGTATATTCATGTCTTACATATAAATACAAGAATGATTAATTATGTAAATATGATAACAAGCTAATTTTACAGTAATATAACTATGTTAAGCACTACGTTGTTTTATATTTAATATTTGTAAGCTAGAACTTTAAAGGCAATAATCATGATGCCCATAATATAAATTAGAAAAAATCGTGCCAATTAAGATTATCAACAGTACTCGATCCAAAGTGAATCCCACACATTGTGTGATTAATTAAATAATTTCAGTTTAATGTTTCAAGTAAAAGAAAGCTAAAAGCTGGTTTTTTCTTTTTAAGATAATTAACACAATTTTAATTGGAAGTAGATCATGTACAACGGCCATAATGTGAGAACTAGAAAAAATCTTGCATATTCTGAGCTTATCAATTTCAAATTTAATTGGTACTAATTCACAACACAATCAACTTCCGAGTAGATCATGCACAACGCCCTTAATGTTTTCATAGTAAAAGAATACTAAAAACTATTATTTCTTTTTTGAGATAAATTTAATTGGTATAGCACAATGTGAGAACTAGAAAAAATTTTGTCTTTAACCAATTGAGCTTATCAATCTCAAATTTAATTGGTACCAAGCAACTTCCGAGTAGATCATGCACGATGCCCTTAATGTTTTTACAGTAAGCTAAAAACTAGTTTTCTTTTTGAAATAATCAATCTCAAATTTAATTGTGATAGAGCTTTAAAGTAAATCATACACGACGCCCATAACGTAAACTAGAAAAAATCTTGTATTTAGCCAATTTAACTTATCAATCTCAAATTTAATTGGTACTGCACAAGCAACTTCCGAGTAGATCATACACGACGCCCTTAATGTGAGAACCAGAGAAAAACAATCGAGCTTATCAATTTCAAATTTAATTGGTAACTTCACAAGCAACTTTCAAGTAGATCATGCACGACACCCTTAATGTGAGAACTAGAAAAATCATGCCTTTAGAATAAACTCAAATTTAATTGTATAATTGTTTATAGCACAAGCTAGAAAAGTAGATCATATATGACGCCCATAATGTAGTAACGCGATAATTATTTTAAACCAGTGAAAATCTACAGTTTGCTGTTTGTTTAACCCACATGGATATGTTTTACATTAAAGGAGGGTCGGCTGTATCTGTTTAAAATTCAGTTGGAATCCAAGATATCTGAGTTTTACGATAGAGAAGTATTCACCAGGAAAGTTATTTCGATTTATTTTTCTTCATATTTTTTACAAATAATACTAACTTCAATACTTTATTCTTTTTTTTCTTTTGGGTTGGAAGAAAGCTATACAGTATTATATGGGTATTATATGGAAGTATAAATTACGATTTCTACTATTATATAATTCTTATTAAATTTACTTTACATAACTCACGTTTTTTTTTTTTTTTTTTTTTTTTTTTTTTTGGTTGGAAGAAAACTATACAGTATTATATGGAAGTACAATTTACGATTTCTATTATTGTTTAATTCTTATTAAATTTACTTGACATAACTCACGTTTTTCTTTTTCTTTCTTTTTTTTTTTGAGAAAAGTAAATAAGGAATGGCCATCATCTTGACCATTAGTACAGTGGTCTGCCCAAATAGAGTACGTTTGATCGTTGTCCGTTCTCTATGATGTGAATAAAAAATTCTGATGGGTTAGTCCCTAGTGATTGGTGTTCGACCGTTGGTCCACTAATCATGTTGTGTCGGCTCTTATATAATGAGTTTAATTTTCTGATAAGAGCTAATTTTTTCTTATCAAATTTTTAATTGATAATAAAGTTATTTAGATTTGAAATTTTAAAATAATTTGATCTTTAAATGTTTATAGTTTCTTCAATGAACTCTATGATTTACATAAAGTTGTATTTTTATCTAGTCATGTCATAAGCAGCACAGATTATTATATCAAAATTATTCGATCTCAAACTGTTTTATTATTAACTACTATTTTAAACATAATAAAAAATATCATAATAAAATTTTTTTGAGTAAAATTTCTTAAACTTTATATGAAAAATCAATTATTTATTGACGCAGCTAAGAATTTGTACATTTTATTGTAGATTAAATTGTTGATTAAACTCGTGTTCACCGATGAAAGCATTACTTCTAGGTAAATATGGATCCACTGTTTCACCCCGTTGATGTTGTATTTCCCGATTCTCAAAGTAAGATATTCTTTCTTCTAACCAAGTAATATTCCAATTACAAATATCATGGTCTACTTCATTTCTTATCCTTAGTGTTCTTTGCAATTCATTTATTTGTTCTTGTTGGATTGAAATAAAATTGTTGCAATTTGTACGGATATTATTATTTCTAGTACGTAAATGTTCAACTTCGACAGTAAGTTCATCATTTGTATTTCGTAGGTTTCCGTTTTCTTCTTGTAAAGCGGTTATAGTTTTGTTTTTTTCTTCAATTATTCCTTTAAGTAATGTTATTTCTTGTCTTAGTTTGTTTAACTCTTGATTAGCAGTTTCAATTGTAATCTCTTTCAGTCTTAATTTTTCTTCAAGAATTTTGGCTCTTTGAATTTCTTCGTTTAAAAGATTGATATGCGATTCTTTCTTACATCGTTTAATTTCTCGGTTTAAAAATTTTATATGCTCCTGTAGAGCATGGATAATTTGTCCGTTAGGGTCTAGCTTTAGTGAGCGAGTAATTCTCATAATTTTTTTCAAAATCTTTTCAGGGACGAATCTTTATATAAAAAATATATACTCGAAAATAAATAAACAATCAGTTTCAACTTAAACTTTATCTAATCACCTAAAATATAATAAACTTTTAATAAATAGAATTCATATATTGCAAGGTCGAATAAATAAATTAAATGCATAATAAATAATATAAATAATCTACTGGTTACTTTATCGATTATTTATATTATCTGTTCAATGTTCGGTTCACATCTCTAGTATTGTGGTTCAGCATCTAAGTCACGATTTGTAGATACACGTGCCTGCATTACTGGTTACTAATTTTCGGCTGGAATTAACTTTTTTGATATTTTTTCATTACAAAAATAGATATTTTTTTTAAAAAAATAAGCCCGCATTATGGTAAAATTGCCCAGGAACAATTTTCACTTTATTGCAGAGTAATTCCGGCCGAATTTTTGATCGAGAATCTAATTTATTAATTCTTGAAAACCCGGTTTATAGTGGTCAAAATCTCGTCAAGTCAATTTTGAATCATGTGACAAATTTTATCTTCGAATTAAGTATTGTTATTATATAAAAAATTAGAATTAAACTTTAAATTAGAGTGGTTTTTATAAGTGGTTTTTATATTATTGCCAAATTTAGCTTGAATGCATAAAAATGAATTTTTTTTGCGAGTATTGCCTGCCAATTTTGGTTTGAATATATTCGGAATTACAATATATCGATATTGTATAATTCAAAGATCTTTTTTTGGAGCATCACAAAATTTTACGCGATTTCTATCAGAAAAGATTGTATTAAAAGCCACATGACTATATCCCGTATCAAACATATCAGTATCAGATATGATTGTTAAATTATTTTTGAACACATTTCTAATATAAATTGTACTCTAAATTAGCTTGGATATATTTAACATAAAAACAGAAAAATTCATTGATATCGATATTGTATAATTTGGAACATCAAAATTTTTATCAGACAAGATTGTATGATTGTTAAGCTTGAAAAGTTTATCTTACATAAGATTCGTCACATTACCTGAAGTAAAATAGCACGCGACACTAATGAATTAAGAAGTTTAGTTACTGGTCTTGGCAGAAAGTTTATTATATATAAAAAATTCATTTGATACCGATATTGTATAATTCAAAAAAGATCAATTGTCATGACCAATACGAATTTTCGATCTTTTTTTGGTGCATTACGCGATTTCTATCAGAAAAGATTGTATTAAAAGCCAAAGATTATATGATTGATAAGATTTGTCAAAACTTTGCATATCTTTAAAGTAAAATAACAAATAACAATTTACTGAACACGCGTACGAAGAAACTGTTTTATAAGTCTCGTCTATTCAGTAACTTAACTGTTCTTCGGGTGTCATAGAAAACAATCTCTTTTTTCTAGCGTCATTTCTTGCAGCCTTTTGTTCAGGCGTATAAATTCTTTTTTTTTTGCATTGTTACAATAAATTAATTCGCTTTGTTAATCATCTATTTTATATATTTTACGTTATCACATTTATTACGTTAATCGTCATTATATTATCATGCTTATTAGTAATTATACGTTAATTGTCATTTTATTTATCATGCATATTAGTCTATTTTATTTATCATATATAATTATTAATGATCGAAATTCTGAACATCGACCCAAATTAATAGAGCAAAGGAAGGACTTACACTCCGCTTCCCTCTGCTCTAGCCCAAAAAGATAAATAATTAGAATAATGTAAAATTACCTGATGATTTATTTTCTTCCCTAATTAATTGTTTTAAATACATTAAAATTATAAATTATGACTTGGCGAAGACAAAAATGCTGATAAAATATATTAACGACCAATCAGTATCATAAATTTAATGAAGCATACATGTATAAAAAAAATCAATTTTTATAAAATTCTCAACTCGATAACTACTGATTAAACAGTTCAAGTTTTTTACTATAAATAATATATATATATTCATTATTGGCAATAACATTGATTTGCGAATAAGAATCAGACAAAAGTTTATTGGTTTCCTCGTTATTTTCTATATCATTATTGAAATTTTCTCTTTGCTGTGGTTTCGGTGATTTGTTAATAATTAATTACGCTTATAATTAATAACGCTTATAATTAATATATTGAAATCTTTGTTACCTCCGGATTCTTACTAACATGTGGACATTTCAAAGCATCCTTTATTAATCAAAAAAAAAATTCAAATATTAAAATTTTACTAAAGCATTTATTAATTATCAACTTTAAATATCTTACTTTACTATTCTCCTTTCCTTTTGAAGTTTTAAAATAATTATTTATGTGACTATCTATAGTCCGTTGATCTTCCAAATTTAATATATGAAGTTGAGTCAATAGAAACCAAGCAAATATTTTTTAATAAGTTTTTTTTTAAAATTTAAACAAGAATAACTTAACAAAAACTTGATCAAATTCAATAAAAATTTTTTTAAATTAATTCTACAAGTTTGTAAAAATTATTTAAAAAAATTTTTTTTAAAGTTGGTCAAGTTTTTGTTAAGTTATTACAATTTTTGGGGGTGCATTGTTTTAGTCTTCATATAATAGTTTGAGTAAAGTTTAGGGTCAGGGTTTATTAATTAAAGTGTATAGATGGGTTTTAGTAGATATTATAGTTCTAAATAGAGACCCCAAAATTTCAGCATCAGCTGCGACAATTATTAACAGTTGCTACTTTTCATTAAATTCATTAAAGTTAGGTGAGACCAATTTGATTCAGTGGTTTATATTATATCACTATTTATTTTACAAAAATTAAAAAAAAAAAACACGATTTTTCACGATTTTTAACTGTTTTGTAAAATTCTTTTATTATCAAAAAAGATAAACAAGAACAAAATACGTTGATTACTAAATTTAATAATAAATTCATTGAATACCCATTAGATTTAATATGTTGATTATTTCAGTAACCCAATTCGAATGTTGGAACATAAAATCAAATATCAACCTATTAAGACAGAAAATAAAGAATTAATTCTCTGATTAAATAAATTCTAAGAAGATTTAATTATACATACCCTCCAATTGTTGTTAAAAAAAAAAGAAAATAAAAAACAATAAAATTATTTCTTTTCTCTGAGTGTCAAGTTTATTGTTTATTTTATCGATTCTCTCTAGAATTTGGCCAAATTCTTCGTTAGGAGTATGCTTTTTAAGTCCAAAATATACTGAGACAGTTGTGTTGATATCAACAAATCGTGTGAGTAAAATATTTTTATTTGAATTTGCAAGAGTTAAAGAGCGTTTCGAAAATGTATCATCATCTATTACATAAATTCCCAAAGTATTTACTGGATAATTAGAAATTTCACTTTCAAAACACTTAATTTGACCAACAGTAACTTTAGTCCTTTCATTATGACAATGAACCAAAATTAAGCGTCTTTGCTTGTGGCCGAATAATTGTATAATACCTTCATCAGATTTAGAACTAAAAAAAATAAAATAAAATTATAAGTTCATTATAATCGTTAATGCAACCTATTCACCAAAGGCTTCCGCGCAAAGCTAGATTGAGCTTTTCGGATTAAACATACGGAGAAGGACGTTCACAGATATTCCTGTGGCCACGATGTGCTTCCTGTTCTCCGATGCAATCCTAGTGGATACTATGAATAAAAAGTATAAAATGACCAAATATTTGCAAGACAATTCAAATCAATATCACCAAGATATATACTTCTTAGATTACTTAAGTTTATTAAGATTGTATTTAAGCTATTTGTTCTAATAACTTAACTGTTCTAATAATTTTTAAGATATGTAAAGTGAAGTTGATATATGTTTAAAAGCTTTGCATTGTAAATTAGAAGATATAATTTGATCCTTATTTTTTCTATGTAGACATCCTATCCTTTTAATTATTTTGTGTAAAAACTTAAGGTTTATGTATAAATAATTGAACGGATCACGTCTCTACACGCGTATAGTACTTTTTTATATTTCATTTGATATGAACCGGATTTTGCATAATGTTGAATTCAATTAATCTTTTCCATCAATAGATGAATAAGTCATGGGTGTTAGAAATAAACTAGCATTTTCATTATCGATTAGCATGCTCAAACCAGCCTCCATAATGTATTGATTTATATTTTGTAAACTCTCAATTATAATTTCCTTAAAACGTATATTATTATTAAAGATAAAGTTAAAAAAAATAAATTAAATAAAA